AAAAAAAAAAAAAAATGAAGAAACTAAAGCTCAGCAATAGGATGGTACCATGGAAAGGATCCTACTGGCATAGGATTTCTGGTCTGTACTCTTATTACAATTAGAACCCATGGGAAGTGGGTCAGGCAAAAGAAGCTTCTTTTTATTTAACATTGTCTTATTTCCAGTCTAACTTTACCCTGTAGCAGAATCAGATGGCTGAAAATATTCTGGAACTATGGATCTTGACTCCAAGGATATATATTTTATTCCAAGAAAGACCAGGTAGGCTAAAAGATGACAGGGTACAGAGTTAATCTATTAACTAAATATTTATAACTGTGTTCAAAATTATAGAGACTACAGATATGTGTCAGCTACTTGCATTTCTTGTAAATACTCTTGCTATATAGTAAATATGGCCAAAAATAACAGGACCAGTATCATTAAACTTCTGGGGTATTATGAGTTTTGAGAAATAAGTTTTGAAAAATAAGAATGCTAACACTTAAGCATAGAATAGAGTTTGCTTGGGTTTTTTTCCTACATTATAAGGTAATAAGTTGTTTCTTAATGTTTATTTTTATTTTGGCTTAGGAAAAGTTTATGCCAGGAATAGGTGGCATTTAATTGAATCAGACAACACAAGGCATATAGAAATAACTTTAATTAAAAAACTTACATAGAAGATTATAATATCAGACATGACAAAGATTTGAATTTATTTGCCTGGACAATTTGGGTTTGTCTGGCTTTTGTTTTTTTTGGTTTTTTTTTTTTTTCTTTAAAAATAAATGTACAGTAAAACTACCAGCAAAAGTTTGTCAGTATTGAATTTGAATTTATTTTTTCCCTAAAGGGACCAGTATAATTTCTAATCCCTGGCTAAAACTTAGTGTCAAACCCCATAGACTAGGCCAGATGGCCGCGATTTTTAGTTGTATGGGTACTACAACTTGAACAACCTTTTTTACATGACAAAAGTGATTTATATAAATTGTCCTCAACTTTCACATAGAAAAAATGGTATAATAGCTTCTAAAGGAATTTACCTTTATGTACACTCTTCAGTATATTGAAGCATTGTCCTTTGAAAAATTTTAATTCTCAATGTAGGATGCAAGGAACAATAGATGCTTATTGGAATAGAGTAAGTGATGATGTCAAGGAATGACCACATTAGCTAGAAATACAACCATTTTTTAAAAATTTTATACTGATAGGACTTTCATATTTGTTCATTTTAACTCTAATATGCTTTTTTATTCTGTTAGGAGTGAACAGAAAGCCTGTGGTTAGCCCAGCAGATATCAGTGATTTTGAATAAAGGAGTATTGTGTTATCTGGTATAAGAATTTCCATATATAACTTCTGCTACTGGTTAAACATGTTAAAAAAAAAACACCAAAAACTTCCTCTCTGTATTCAAGATGTCTTTATCAGTAGAAACATGTGCTTTATATATATATTGCAGCTTACATTAGCTTACTTCAGGGTAGTTCATACATGCATTTCCAAGTGGAGTGGGTCATTGCCAGTGTTTTTTAAAAA